TAGGCATAGGTGTGTGTGAAGACATATAGTGTGTGTGTAGGCATATAGTGTGTGTGTGTAGACATATAGTGTGTGTGTGTGTGTGTGTAGGCATATAGTGTGTGTGTGTGTGTGTGTGTAGGCATATAGTGTGTGTAGGCATATAGTGTGTGTGTGTGGGGGGGCATATAGTGTGTGTGTGTAGGCATATAGTGTGTGTGTGTGTGTGTAGGCATATAGTGTGTGTAGACATATAGTGTGTGTGTAGGCATATAGTGTGTGTGTGTGTAGGCATATATTGTGTGTGTAGACATATAGTGTGTGTGTGTGTGTGTAGGCATATAGTGTGTGTGTAGGCATATAGTGTGTGTGTGTGTGATATATACACACACACAATCTCTCTAAGTAACCCTTAAAGAGGGGGCTGATTTATTAATCTGTGGACACCTGTATAGTAGCTAAAGTACTATAAATTAAAGGACCTAATTAAACAAATCTTCATTTATTATATATTTATTGGGTACGTTTACCATCATTTTATCCCCGGGGTAATTAAACCAAGGGTGCCTATTAAAAATAAATAGGTGTTGAAATATAGATTTGGAGTGTAATAATTCATGTCATATCCATTCCACAAATTTTTGCCCCTCTGAAAAAATGTGGTGTCCATGGTTAAGAGCTATTTGAATGTGAATAAGAACAGATTTATTTATAGTTACTGGCATTGCTATCCTCTTTAGAATATGGTCAGAGGACTGTTTAACCCTTTAACCCCCTGATTTAGTGTCAGTGTCAATGAGCAGTCTGTGAATGTGTCTGGCACACCGTAGGTTATTTTATAATGAGAAATATGTAATGTCTGAAAATCGACAGTTACGTTCTGTGATTATTTTGAAATGTATTATGGTGATCTATAGGAGATCTAGAAAGTGACACTTTTTTTGCTATTTTTTGCAGAAATTTTATTTTAGGAAGACCGCCAAATTTGAAGAGGTGGGGGGAAAAAAAAGAGAAAACAAAACACTTTGCTTTTAGAAAAAGTGGCAGAAAGATTGATAAATCCGTTGCGTCGCCAGAAAAACGCCATATATTCAAAAAGGAAGGTTAGGGCACAAAAGAAGCAACAGACGATAAAAAAAAAAAAACTTGACAGATTTAATAAATTACACCAAATATTGGCTGAAAATTAGACGTAAAAGTGTTGGCGATAGTTTTTGTCAATAGCCTCCATTATGTTTGTGTCAGAAACAGAGGTGGCTTTGCGTTTGCGCCAGTTTTGTGCCGTGCGCCATTTCCTTGTTGATAAAATTGTTACTACACTCCCTATACATCGGTGCTGTGACAAAATATTCTGTCTTACACCTTTCTTTAATCATCTAACCTATTTTTGCTTCTTTTATTTCTGTTGATTTTACCATTGACCACAAAATACAACAAATGAGTGACGTTAATAGGGAAAAAAGGAACATTCTCAAATTGAAGTATTTTTTAATACATTAAACAAAAGGAAGAATGCTAACGCTGCTTCATTGTCACAGAAAACCAGCCACTGAGACAGGGGCAGAAAGTATTAAAAAGGACACTCTTGCACCTTTTTTTTTTTTTATACATCAGAACCGTCATATATGCGAACCAAAAAAATAATAAAAATGAAAGTTTAATGGGAATATAAAATGACGGAAGAGACACAGAAATTAATATTCTGGTTCAAACACTAAAAATGCCAGAAAACAGCTTTAAAATTGATTGCGACACTTTTGATATCTAACCCAGAGAGTATAAAATCCATACTTTAACAGATGCACACACAAAGAAGAATTAGAAAAAAGATGCATTCTCTACAATGTGAAAGGTTAAGAGTAGTTAGCCATATACACAAACAAACAGACACTGAGTACGGGAGCAGAGATCTGCACATACAGACACACACATACACACACTGAGAGAGGAAGGAGGGAGACCCGCGCAGAAAGCAAAAGTGCAGGAGAGGAGACATTCACACACAGTCAGAGTGTAAGACGAGGAGAGGAAATCCATACACAAAGAAAGAGAGGCCAGGAAACGCAGACACATCCAGCTAAGGAGAGCGAGTAGGAGATGCAATGCAACTTTATACAAAGTGAAGAAACAGAAAAGCAGAAGCACGTGCACACACACTCACAGTGAGAGGGCAGGAAAGGACACACATAGAAAACCGAAAGGGCACACACAAACAGAAAGGGCAAGAGAGGATATAATCAAACACTCAATTACACAATAACACACATAAACTTACACAGAAAATGGAAAAGCAGCAAATGATATATACACAGAAAGCAGGAGGGCAGGAACAGACACACACACTCACACATAAACAGAACGAGAGGGCAAGAACAGACACACTCTCACACACACAGAATGTGAGATAGCGGGAACAGATAGACACTCACACATACACAGAACGTTAGAGGGCAGAAACAGACACACACAGAATGTGAGATAGCAGGAACAGATAGACACTCACACATACACAGAACATTAGAGGGCAGAAACAGACACACACACTCACACAGAATGTGAGAGGCACACATGGGAATATGTAGTGTGTACAATAAAATGTAGCAGAAATATCTAAAAAAACTTTTACCTAGCAAAGCATAAGTACATAGATTGCGATACCTGGATTAGCAAAAAGCCAACATGAGAAAAAGAAAAAGTACAATGCGCAGCTTGGTTAATTAGGCCCACTGGTGAAACCTAAACTTATTAGAAGAGCATACCAAAATACAAATGTTTAGGGGCCCCTGTCCCTTTGTCAGTTAAACAATGCCAGAATGTGAGAGGGCAGGAACAGACACACACACTCACACATACACCGAATTCAAGAAAGCAGGAACAAACACAATCACACATATACAGAATGTGAGAGGGCATAGACGAACACACAGTCATACAAAAACAGAAGATGAGAGGGCAGGAACGTACGCACACACTCACACATACACAGAATTTGAGAGGGCATGAATAGACACAATTACACATACACAGAATGTGAAAGGGAAGGAATGGACACACACATTCACAGAAATTGAGAGTGCAGGGACAGACACAAACACACATACACAGAATGTGAGAGGGCAGGGAGAGACACACACTCACACATAAACAGAAGGTGAGAGGGCAGGAACGGAAAACACACACTCACACGTAAACAGAAGGTGAGAGGGCAGGAACGGACACACACACTCACACATACACAGAAGGTGAGAGGGCAGGAATGGACACACACACATGCACAGAAGGTGAGAGGGCAGGAACAGACACACACACTCACACATGCACAGAAGGTGAGAGGGTAGGAACGGACACACACACTCACTCACAAATACACAGAAGGTGAGAGGGCAGGAACGGACACACACACTCACACATGCACAGAAGGTAAGAGGGTAGGAACGGACACACACACACTCACACATGCACAGAAGGTAAGAGGGTAGGAACGGACACACACACTCACTCACAGATACACAGAAGGTGAAAGGGCAGGAAAGGACACACACACTCACAGAAGGTAGTGGTT